GAGAGATATATTTTAGTTTTCTTGTATATAGAACTTAGGGGGAGCTTACAAATCTCAACCTTTGGACTATTAGACTCATAGGGAGCTTACAAACCCTTAGGCTCTGATGTTGCTAAGAAAATTAAAATAGCCCAACATTGATTTATTTTAGTTTTATTGAATATAGAACTAAGGGAGAGCTTACAAACCTCAACCTTTAACTATTAGACTCATGGGAAGCTTACAAACCTCAGACGCTGAGGTTACCAAGAATATTAAAATACTCTAGCATTGTTCTTTAAATACTTATGTTTGTCATCATCAAAAAAGGGGGAGATTGTTAGAACAAGATTTGTTAATGACATATATCATTTGGTTTTTTATGATAACAAAGTATTGAAAAAACAATGGTGTTATCAAATGTGTGTTCTAAGTTTGTAGGTTCTAAAGCTTAAAAAGAAACTATTCAGAATATAACAGAAGAATGCACTTGAGAGAAGCAAAGCGAAGTCTGGTGATATAGGTTTGTGTAGACTATGAGGCTGAAGCTATCAACATCAGAAGAGCAATATATTATCTCTACACTTAGTGAATGTATTTGATTCTGGTGATCATTCAGAACCAAGGACTAAGCTAAGTTATTCGTATTGCATAAAGCAAGCTATAATGTCAAATCAGTTTGTCAGTTGGAGTTTGTATTCACATGGCTCAAGAAGAGTTGACATGATTTCTGGATATCTACTCTCACGGATCTACAGATCTATAGTACAAGATCACAAGGAATACATTATGGTTAAAAGATTTACACAATGGATAAAGATTTTTTGGTGTATATATCTTCAACATCTTTTGTACTATAGAGTAACAAAGACACTTGTACAAGTCATCGCTTCCAACAATTATCATTCTGCAACTGCTATATAAGTAGCTGAAGATTCAATCTAGAATCAACAAGGAAGAAGGAAAAAAAGGAGATCCAATAAGAAAGAAGCGTCTCACACTTCTATCAGAATGGAAGAATAACAAGATCAACAATGACAACACAATCGAGTATGCATAATTTTTGTTATATGTTGTAAATTGTACAAAGCTTTAAGATTTCTTAAACATTAAATATCTTAGAAATCTTAAGTGATGTGATATTTGTTATGGTTATTTACCCTGTACCTCTGATAATGTATCAAGTTCACCTTGTTCTCTATTCTTCTAAACAAGTTGTTTAGTAGTTTAGATAAAATCTCTTGTTATGTGCTTGAGCATCAAAGTCTCTTGTTTTGAGTTTAAGCCAAGTAAGTCTCCTGCTATATGCTAAAGCATTAAAGTATTGATCAATTGTTGATTAAGCCAGGAAGTCTTGGACTATAGGTCTAAGCAGAAGTCTTAAATACGTGGGATTTGAGCAAGAAAGTCTTGGACTGTGGGTCTGAGGATAAGTCTTGAACTTGAGGGGTTTGAGCATAAGTCTTGAATCTGTGGGATTTGAGCAGTAAAGGGTTGGACTGTGGGTCTGAGCAAAAGTCTTGAACCTGAGGGGTTTAAGCATGAAGTCTTGGATTTGTGGAATCTAAGCAGGAAGTCTTGGGCTGAGGGTTTAAGCAGCAAGTCTTGAACCTGAGGGGTTTAAGCAGGAAGTTTCGGGCTAAGGGTCTGAGCAAAAAAGTCTTATGCCGAAGGCATAAGCAATTGTAATCATGATTTGACTGTAGTGAAAAATCTTTTGTGCTGCAAGGGGACTGAACTACTCTCAGTTTGGGAGGAACATGATAAATCTTTGCGTGTTATGTTATTATTTGTTTGGTTTTGTTATTATTATGCTGCAACTTATAATCAGAATATGAACTCTGTTTAGGAGCAAAACAAAAAACGGATAACACAATTCAATCCCCCTTCTTATGTATTTTTCTCATCTTCACTAAAAAATTTAGATAGTTCCTTCATTCATAAGTAAAATATTCTAACTTAGGTACTTGGAGATGAAAGACGACTAATCATTATCCCAAACATCATTACATGAAGTACGAGCCACAAAAAAGAGGTCGAAAAAGAGCCATAACTAAGGTTTCCAAGACTTGTACTCGGCATAAAGCTGAAACATTAGCATGAAGGCCCAGGCTCCATGATGAAGCTGCGAGGGGGAAACTTTCAAATGGTTTATTATGACCATATCAAATTCAAAGAAAGGTAGACGTATCCCTATCCTGGTGAAGAGACACTCGTACAAGGGAACCGCACAACCCTTAAAAGAGTTGCACACCCTCTCACCCAGACTTACCGACAAAATAGCCCAATCTGGAGTACCACTTATCATGATGTTGGCCTGAGTTATGAATTCAATAGTGTTTAGGACCGAATGAGTCCCAATTATTTCAGTGGCCACCAAATGATATCTACTCGCATTGGTCGACTATATGAATCCAAGACCCATACGGGCAAATACGTCAACCTTATGATGATCATTGGGATTGACCTAAGACACAACATCATTGTGCCATTCACACTCCAAGTGACGAGAGATCTCTGCTTAGCTAGGGTCATGACCAATTGACTCCCATTATGTTTAAACAAAGAGACCAACACATTCTCTCCTTTGACGGACAACCTCTATTTCTGCCTCGTTCAAGACAGAATGAGGCGTCAATATCCTGATAAGGTTTTCACCCCATCGAATTTCACAAGGAACGAATATTCTAAAGTATTCACTAGAGAGCTTCATTTGTTAAAGATTATCCATATAACTCTCCCATCTTTGAATCATCACTCAAAAATGATTCCTGATTTAAAACCCCACTAATATAGGGGGATGAATGCGACTGTACCCCATTCCTTTTTTTGAATATGAAGAAACACTACCCTCTGAGTCACTCCAGATGATAATAGGGTTACCACTCATCGTAATAAATATGTGATAAAAACTTGAGTAAAAAACGTGGAGAAGAAAAGGTACCTTGAAATAGGAAGACAAAGGCGTTTAAATGAGAAAGGAAGCTGAAAATCAAAGCTTTAATGCTTTAAAACTATGAACGTGCAACAACAGTTACTTTAGGAAGTAAATGCTCTCAAAGAAGAGGGAAAAACTGAAAGAGACATGAGAAACTCAGTCTTCAATAAGGCTAAAAAGTTCCTCCATGTTCTCTCTCTATCTCTATATATGCAAAGGTAAACAAATGGATCAAATCAAAAGTAGGAAATGAGGACAAATCGACAGTCAGATTTCATCTATAGAAGACAACTAAACTCAAGTGTACTCAAGTACACTGAAAAATGACTCACATAACCCCATACCTTTTCAAATCACACGTCAAAGAAAAAATGACGTAACATTTTAATAATGAGACTACAATTAATGCTCGCATTCACATCACACTTTGGTAAAACTAAAGTGGCGCATACAAGTCGCTGCCTAGAAAAAATTCCTTTGAGACTTACCACTATTATTGAAAGACTCATTCGATATGAAACATGTCTGACAAGTCTTGGGGAAACTATTACTTGTTGGCCAAATACTCAGGACCTACTGCTTAATGTCGCTCAGAGGCCCAATAGCACGAGGCCCGTCACCTAACCTACTCTTCCAGGCCCAAGGTATAAATAACTTCGTAAAGGGTTCTAAGATACACAATCTCTAATATCACTTTCACTTCCAATATCTTGAAGATAAACTGCCTCGGGCGTCGAAGTGCTAACCATGCAGGTGCCCCCTTTAGGTTCACTGTATTTGAGATAACATCATCGTCAATGACGTCATATCAACACCGATAACTCTAATTTAAAAAGCATCATGATCACAACCTTTGATCCATATTGTCACATCAACGTAGTGCATCAGAAGCTCCGTCCCGTCGTAGTTTATGCAATAATCACCATTTATGATTCTGCAACAGAACAAATGTAATAGGGGTAAGCTTGATAATATGTTATATTCTTACCCACACCCTTAAGTCATCACTTATAGCAAAGATATGGATGACAATAGATACCCATGAGAGCGAGTACAGTCTTCTGTTACCCCGTCTTATTTAGTAAATATGATATATGTATCAGCCTCATATTCGTGTGGGTATTCACTAGACGAGTATCCGTGAATTTAGAGATACCCACAAATATTTAACACATAATATAATAACAAAAATAAATCACATTCATTTTATTTCTTCTTGTATCAAATAATTATACTATATTCAACATAATAATAATAATAATAATAATAATAATAATAATAATAATAATAATAATAATAATAATAATAATAATAATTTGATATTTAACATAATAATAACAATTTTAGATCAAACAAATTAATATTTAAATAATTTTGTTAGTTATTAATGAATACAAATATTCATGGGTACATGTATCATCAAATTTATATTTATGCCCGTAAAAAAATAAGTAGTTAAATATCCGTTTATTTTATTAGTAGATATCCATTATACTATCTAATTTATGTTGGTAATAGATTTTACTCACAAGTAGCTTTAAATATGAATTTTGTTGTCATCTCTAAATAAAGATAATACTATCTATTTAATTTAAAATATTTAATAGTTCTTCCGGCCTCATATCTAAAAGAACTTTTATTAAAAAAATACTCTATAAAAAATGTCTCAATGAATTTAATTTTTACACTCTTTAATTTTATTCTTATTTTTTGCTCGATAAATAATTACAAACATAAAAATGTAAAAAAAATAAAAATATTTATAATAATGTCATTGAATATAATAGTTATAGATGAATTTTATTTATATTTAAGATCATTAAAATTTTTCATGTTGTTTATATTTGAGATCTAAGTATGAAGTAACATATATTTTTATTGTCACCACATAATCATTAGTTTATTACATCAATATTTTGAATATGAGCGATACAAAATTTGAACTCTTTCTTTTACATGAAATATGAATTTGAAAATTGGTTTTTCCCTCTCAAAAATCGCAGCTCAACACTGTCCATAGATTTTGAAAATCTGCAGCGCAGGTAACTGAGAATCACGTTTGGAGCAGAAGCAGAAAAGTGCAATGGAGAAGAAGCTTCGTTCATCTCTTCACTCTTCACCTCAAGAATTCATCTCCTTAGCCATAACCCAAACCCTAAAATCTTCAAAACCCTCTCTCAAAACCCTAATCCATAACATTAAACCCTCCTCCAACCTCATTTTTTCTCTCCCTCCCTCTCTCTGCAACGCCATCACCTCCACCATTCAATCCTTCCAGAACCTTCTACAATCCAACTCCGACAACCCTCAAACCCCTCTCGCCACAGCGCTCCGCCGCTCTTCCCGCAAACCCAACGCCGACACTGAACAAAAACCCCGACCCGATAAAAAGGACAGACTCCTCAAACGTCTTCAAATTCTCACTCACGTTTTGTCTCTATGCGTTTCGCACCCTAAGAAAATTTTCGACCCCTCCTGTTTGCTTCCCGGAGTTCAAGCTTTGCATGATAATTTAATCGTGTTGGAAGCGGATTCTGTTTTGTCTTCGGGGATCGAGACGCTCTGTGAAGAATGGTGGAAGGAGAATTTAGTAGGTCGGGAGTCGTTGATTTCTCAGACACTTCCTTTTCTTATCTCGAGGACGTTGACTTTAAAGAAGAAAGTGGATGTGCACAGGGTTTACATGCTTCGTGAAGCGTTTTCTCTGTTTGATTTTGAAGATGATAGCATTGAGGATTTGAAGCTGTTGCTGAATCGGAGTGTGATTTCTCCTTTGTTTTTGAAAACAGAAGATGGAAGGAAGTTTCTGTCGTTTCTCTTTGGGCTGAGTGATCAACTTAGGAAGGAACTGTTGGCGATGATTCGTTCGCAGATTCCGTTTGGAAGGAAGTCCATGTTGGAGGCTTATGGGGATATATTGTTTCGAGCATGGAAAGCTGCCCCGGAAGATTCAAGGAGTGAAATTGAGAATGGATTCTTGCAGGGTTTGGTTGAGGGTTCCATTCATGCAAGTTCTGGTTCTTTTGCTTCGTATATTAGGAGGGTTTTGGGAGGTTTTATCAACCAGAGGACCGTTGACGGGGTTGAGAAACTACTCTATCGACTTGCCGAGCCTGTCATATTTAGATCTCTACAGGTAAATTGCCTTGTCAAAATCAACTCTTTCCAGCCTACATTTTATAGTGTTTGAATGTTGGTTTGTTAAACTTTTGGTATAAAGATTTGTATTATGCCGGTGCTAGAATGTTTGTGCATCTTTTAATTGGTCCTTGAATGTTCATCAGAGTGATTATTTACACTGGTGTTGTTTTGTAAGCTTATGAGTTTCACAACTCTTTGTAGATGCTTTGTTTCTATGCTTTAAAATTCTTGTAGGTGCTGTGCATGCATTCATATTCTTCTATTGTAAGTTGTAATTTGTATATGGCCACTGGTTTGTGCAGATGAAAAAACCCGCATATGACTTTTGAGGGCTGGTTGGTATACAATCCTATAATCAGTTGTTTTTTGGAATTTGGATTAGCAACTTCGTAAATTATAATCAGTTATGTGTATGAATTATAATATTTAAAGTAGCTTGTGATTTTTCTTTCTATGTTCAACATTTTTACTTTGCCTTCTTATCAATATAGGCTGCAAACTCAAATGTTCGTCAAAATGCTTTGCACCTGCTATTGGATGTATTCCCCCTTGAAGATCCTGATGCCCCAAAAGGGGATAAGGATACATTGATTGATAAACAGTTCTTTTTGTTAGAAAGGTTGCTTGTCGACGATTGTCCGGAAATTAGAACAATTGCCGTTGAGGGTTCTTGTCGTGTCCTTCAGCTATTTTGGGAAGTTATTCCGTCGCCAATTATTACGAAGATGCTTTCAAAAATAATTGGTGACATGTCTCATGATGTATGCAGCGAGGTAAGGCTTTCTACGTTGAATGGCATCATTTATTTGCTTGAGAATCCCCACTCGCATGAAGTACTTAAAGTGCTCTGTCCAAGACTCGGGCACTTAATCCAGGATAATGTGCTCACAGTACAAGTAGCTATGGCAGACCTCTTGCTCCATCTAAAGGATGTCCCAAATTATCAGTTTAATAAGGTACATATTCTTAAACTCAATTATTTTAGAAATCTCTGTGACTAATTTATTTGCAAATATCATCAATTGTCACTGGTTGGCTGCCCATTATTATGTATGCCCTGCAGGTGGTGGATCTCAATTTGCTTTTATCCGAGCTTGCTAGTGATCAACCTTCTGTAGCTCAGAAGATAACTAAACTTCTTATACCTTCGTACTTTCCCTCAGTAGTGCCCATTGAGGAGGCATGTAATCGCTGCATTACACTTGTAAAAAGGGCTCCACTGGCTGGTGCAATATTTTGCAAGTATGCCATCTTGGAAGGAGCGTCTAAAACTCGTCTTATAGAACTTGTAAACGTATTTCTGAGTTTGGTATTGTCACCAGATAAGCTGAATGCAGATCTGATAGAGGGCTTTCTTGTTGCTGCTAGCTACCTTTGTGAAAACTTAACCTTTGAACCATGCTATAAGAATGTCCTCAAAGAGTTCATTACTGTAGAGAAAGTGAAAGGTTTACTAACTGCGGCATCTACTCAACAAGCTCAATCATCTTTATTCAACATTTTTTCCACTGTCTGTCCAGATAATGTTGAAGGACTTCTAGAGGAGGGCATGAGTGTTGTCACAAACTGCAGTGGTTTACCGGAAGATGTTGATCGCCAATCTAAAGTTAGGTCTGCACATAAGTTGTTGCTTTCTTTGGGAGGTTTTGATGACATGTTCGAAGCCTTAACGACCCTACTGCATAAGGCTGCTAATCGCTGTCACGTTAAATTTGGTGCAGACATGCCATCACCCAGTGTTGGTTCTAAATCATTTGGAAAACTTTCAGTTAAATCAAGTGTTAAAACTAAATCATTTGGAAAACTTTCAGTTAAATCAAAGATAATTAACCGAAAGCAATCTTTTGAAGATGATTATGTTGTAGCGGTTGGTGTAGCATGGCAAGTTAGAGACTTGCTGCAGCATAAGGATACCAGGAAAGCTATCTTTAAATCTCAACCTTTAGAAAAGTTATTTTTTTCACTTAAGATGGTATCTGAAATCAGCATTGTGAATTGTGGGAAGTATGAATATATTGATGTATCTCCTGTTTTGGCATATGTTGCCCTTGCTCTGCAAATGACGGTTGATAATGTTGGCCGAAGTAGTGGAAAAAGTGGTGGTTTAAAGAGGAAGAAACGTAACATTGATTCTTCATCATTACTTTCAGAGGCAAGTACAGTCTTTTTGCAATTTTTTTAATTTCATGTAGATTTAGTGATTAAAATATTCTTTCCTGGAATTTGGTTTTATTTGCATCTTCTCTTGCCCAGTTGTATTTGTTGATTTTTGTTATCGGCTAAAAATTTCAATGGTCTAGGAAAAAATTAAATTGTTTTTTCCTCGAAATTTTCAGGTTTTCAGCATGATTGCTATGATAATGTAACCCTACATACCTAGCTCACCCATTCATTTAACTTAAGTCCTTCCATTGTATTGATGAATTGATATTATTATCTTAGAATAACCAGTTTATTTTTAGTTCTTGCTTGGCTGATCTTCTGATAAAAAAACTTGTTTAATCAGACTGTATTGGGTCTGACAATTGAGCACATGCTGGACTGCTTAGAAAAACTATTTGGATCGGATGACTCTGTACGGAGTCGCAATGTGGGTTCATCCAACTTGAAATCAACATCAGGTAAAAAACAAAATTCCGAAAATAGGCGAAGGGTGTCTCTGACAAATGCTGGCTGCCCAAGAGGTAAGAAAATACATTCATATTTCATTTCATGTATTATAGTCATAATGTCTTTTAGGTCTGATAATGAACTGCGCCGCTTTGACCAAATACATGTAACTAAGCACACTGCAGAAGTTGGAAAAAAGCTCAAGCACAGTTCAAATGCTTCAATTGATTTCATTTCAGTCAATTTTAAATTTTTTCTTAAAAGATTTTGTATGTAGTAAATAGTTAGATGGGTAATTGGGTACATATGGTTGTTAATGTTCACAGATTTCTAGTACTATTTTGCATTTTGGGCATTATCTACTGGTTTCTTCTCTTATGATATTTGACCATTGAATTTCCAAATCATTATTTGGCATTTCATTTATGAAGAAACATGGCCCTTTTGTTATTCCCCGCTATAAGGGTTTTATATAGAATCATTGATCTAACCGTTTTCATTTGTTTTAACACGTGTTTGGCTCTTTTTTTTTTTTTTTTAATTCTAATTAAAACATTACTAGTACTATTTGATGCTTCGAATTATGTATATCAGCTCTGGATATACACCTAGTCGATGTTTGTGACTAATTGTTTAAATCTTTTTAAATAGGATCTGTACACAGTGAAGCTCAATATGTACTTTGCAAGGTGAAGATGCTTACTGCCGTTCTCAAGTTCATTGCTGATACTGCTGCAATGTATTTTGCTCCTCATAACCATGGGTTATTTTTGAAGTATACATCAAAATGCATTCAACATATAGTGTCTTCATTGGACCATCTTTTTCATAACAAAATTCAATTCCATGAAGAAGATAAAAAAAATACTATAATTTGCCTAAAAAGTTCTTTCAGCTATGCTGCCAAAATACTCAATGTGATTCTGGCCGGTTCTGATGGATCCTCCATTACAGCATCAAAAGCCTTTAATCTTGCCAATAACTTACTTGATTTAATTGTTTCAATAGAATCATGTTTAGGCTCTGTATATGCGTCACGTCTTGTTTCAGCAGCAAGGCCTTGGCTACCTGATGTGATTTTGGCATTGGGGTCTCTAAGTGTTCTACAAGATACTGACTGTGAAACCGAACATGCAACTGTATCTGAACAAATGAAGTTTTGTTTTCCAAAATGGCCTTTGGTCGTAGCCAAAACTGTGCTCTCTGCAGTGAATGAAGGTGAAGAAGATGCTGAAAGTTCTCAGACAGATAAATGCCCAGCATTCAATAAACTTCTGGCCATGCTGATTATATTACTAAAAAAGAACCGAAGTATAATGGATGCAGTTGGAAATGTTTTCCTGGTTTGTTCACTTGTTGGGCTAGAACGAAAAGACTTTGAGCTGGCATTAGGACTCTTGCAGTTTGTATGTTCCAAGTTGTTTAACAGCGATGACAAGGATTGGGGTGACATGATGCTGTCTTCTCTGCAAGAAATATATCATAAGATAGAGCAACAAATGAAAGAAGATAGAAACGAGGATGAATTGGAGAAATTATTGCATGCAAAGGAGTTGCTTGAACCTCTTTGGAACTATCATCTATATGAAACTAGAAAGGTTGACATGACTGATGTCTAGAATTAGTTTTTACTTTGTTTTGTATGTCTATTTGTGTAGGAATTTGACGGTACAATTTACCAAGACCTTTAGATACCTGATGTATATACTATGCTTTTACAATACAGCTGCAAAATATAACACGAGCGCGATTTAATTTTCTAATATGTCACCATCTTTTTTTTTTCTGTACAGAAACTTACTAGAGTTTTTCCTCATGCCCTTGACTAGAAGTTTCCACTGTACAGAAAATTATCCTCTACAATAATTGCTGAAAAGGGATTACAAAGAATGACTTGTTTGGAATTTTTACTGTCTCCTTTATTATTCTAGAAATGCAAATTGGGTTAGTTGAGATTAAGGTAACTGCTATTTAAAGAATGAAAGCCAAAAGAACTGATTCAGAATCATTATAACATAAAATTAACAAACACGATGCGTCCATTCAAATTGCCACAAATTGAAGAATAGTTATTTTTACTCGAGTTGTTTCTAGGCAACAAGAGTCGTCAATATCTACAACAAGTTTAGGTTTTCATAAAATTGTTAAATGGTGATTCATCAGTCGCCTAAGGATAACTGCGGCAAGGCTCTAGAGTTCTACTTTGCTGCCCCATTCTGATTCTAACCCAAGGCAGCCTCAAACAATGCCAAATGAGTTAGTGAATATACACGAATGAGTGCGATCTAAGGTCTAACAATCTTCATTGCATTTTGATTAGGAGTTGTTCCTTGCTTTCTTCAGACAGGAATCTTCTTTAAGCGAGCAGCAATAGGCATTCCCATAAACCCAACAAATAAGCAAAAGAACCATTGTACCAGAGTGAGAGGTGTTGTGTTTGCAAAGGTTCCCAAGTACTCCACTATTATGATTTGAAAGAAAATTGTAGCACTGATGACCCCCACAAAGACATAATTATCCAATATGCCCTTAAAAACATTAATTTTCTCCATCTCACGTGAGTTTATCTCATTGAAAACCTGCAAAACCAGACCAATCCAAAACTGATAAGCCACATTTATACGACAGTTAAATATGCTTTTAACAGTCATAATTATTATTCCTAAACAAGTTGTTCAACTTTTTCAGAAAAAGTACCTGACAAAAGACAAATGAGTTGAAGATAAGTGTGTTTAAGACTAGATCTGAATTGGGGCCATCAAGTGAAAAGATGGATTTTCCTTTGGACTGAAGAAACCATATCACCATAAACTGATACAGTGATTGTCCCATGATATTCCTCCACATGACATTGCTGATGAAATTCCCTTTTCTTCCAACAGGTGAACGCTTCATTAAATCATCATTTGGAGGTTCAGTTGCGAGTGCAAGTGCTCCCAATGTGTCCATTATCATGTTCACCCATAAAAGTTGAACAGCAGTGAGTGGAGCAGTTCCTGGAGAAAAAATGTATATTATATCATAAAGAAGTACAAGGAATCAAATTTAAAGTAGAGATATTAATCTAACTTTCTAACCTGTCAAGCAGGCTGATGTAAAGTTCACTATTAAGGCAACCACATTAACTGTAAGCTGAAACTGTACGAATTTCTGAATATTTACGTAAACAGAACGTCCCCATTTAGCAACAGTTACTATTGTCGAGAAGTTATCATCCAGAATGATGACATCAGCACTTTCTTTTGCAACCTGCACATATAATGTAATTAGCAGGACTCTGGTATTATCGTTGCAATAGAAAATTAATCAGTGACTAAAATGTAGTACAGCCCCTTTTCCTTTAATTTGGTATCAGATATTTGACACACACCTCAGTTCCAGCAATCCCCATGGCAAGTCCAATGTCAGCTTCATGAAGAGCCGGAGCATCATTTGTTCCATCACCAGTTACAGCTACAACTTCCCCAAATGTGGTACGCAGGTGTTTCACCAATGTATGTTTGTCTAAAGGCGAGGATCGAGCCATAACCTAAAAGGAAGTAAACATTTATGTTACTTAAAGTATCATCCATAATCATCTTTAGCTAAAAGATAGATTGATAATGAAGCAATCAAGAAGTAGGCAATAGCAGAAGGTAAAAAAAACCTGAATTTTGGGAATCAGCACAAGCAACTCTTCCAAACTCTTCTCTCTAAATTCTGGACCTTCAATGGCTATGCCATCATCGGTTAAAATCCCACATTCCCTAGCTATAGCCTTTGCGGTATTAATGTTGTCTCCTGTAACCATTCTTACGGTTATTCCAGCTGAACGACATAGTGCTACAGACTCCTTAACACCAGGACGAACAGGATCTTTGATACCAACAACTCCTATACAAGTGAATCCAGTAACAGGAATGGTGTCTTCGGAAGAGAACCCGTTTTCCAATTCCATATAGGCAAGGCATAAAGTTCTAAGTGCCTCATTGGCAAACTGGTTTATGGTAGTCTGAAGATGGTTAATTGATTCTTCATCAAGTGGGACAACATCGCCATTTGAATTGAGAACTTTGTCACAAGCAGCAAGAACTATTTCAGAAGCACCTTTACAGTGTGCTCTTAAACCTCCACTAGGGAGCTCCACCACTACACCCATTCTTTTCTTAGTTGAGTTGAATGGCTCAACCTTAACAAGCTTGCATGCTTGTCTCTCTCCTTGAAAATCCCCACCTAATGACAAGCCAAATTCCAATATCGCAGTCTCAGTTGGAGTCCCTAAAATCTCATGTTTCCCTTGTTTGTTAACCACAACCTCTCCTCCGGTGTTGTTAAATATTGACTGTAGCAGCAGTTTCACAGAAGATTCTGGGAGTTCAGAGCACAAACTAGAAGTCTTGTTGCTCACTTCCTTGCTTTTCATACAAATGCACGTTTTCACAACAGTCATGTGATTGGTTGTCAGTGTCCCAGTTTTGTCACTACATATTGTTGTGGCCGATCCCATGGTTTCACATGCTGCCAAATTTCGGACAAGGGCTTTGTCGTTCATCATTTTTTTCATAGCAAATGCAAGGCTCAATGTCACAGCTAATGGAAGTCCTTCTGGAACAGCCACAACAACAATTGTAACAGCGATCGCAAAGTATTCCAACATCTCCAAAGCATCATCCCCATTCCAGCTCCAAAAGCTTTCTTGTTGGAGTTTAGCGCTCACAAGTCCTTGCATAAGAACTGCAAACGTGACAACTGCGAAGAATAGGCCTATTTTCCCAATAATGGTTGCCACTCCATTAAGTTTCACCTGTAATGGGGTTTCATCATCACCACCTTCACTGAGAGTAGCCATCAACTTACCCCATTGAGTCCTCATTCCAACTGTGGTAATCAACATCTTGCATGATCCATCTTGGACCTTGGTTCCTGAAAGAAGAAATGGATTTTCGGAGTTCACCACCACAGGTTCACTCTCTCCTGTTAAACTTGATTCATCAATCAATAGAGAAAATCCGGAAACAAATAGACCATCAGCAGGGACTTGGTCACCAATGGCAAGATGCACGATATCGCCAGGAAGTAACTCATATATAGACATTTTCTGCCTATATCCATTTCTAGTGACCTGAATGGAAATTTTCTTCTTCTCCTTGTCCAAATCTTTGAACTGCAATGATTGACGATAATCACTTGTTGCAGTCACAAACACAACCAGTAAGATACTTGCAACAATTCCAAGACCATCATGAGCTCCCTTGGGCCATCCTTCTGTGGCAATGCCAACAATCAGAGACACAAGAGCACACACTCCAAGTATCATGAGAGTCATGTCTTGAAGTGCTTCCCAAACAAAAATCCAGAAGCTTTTAGCTTGACTTTCAGTGAATTTATTGATTCCATATATCTGTTGTCTTTTATCCAGTAAATCAGTCTCATTGCTAATCCCTACGGTGGTTGACGTAGAAAGCTTTTCTGCAATGCCATCAATCTTACCATGATATTTCAACTTCTTTACATCATGTCCTTCAACAATAGACCCCAATTCATCGCCACAGATTTGAAATCCTGCATCTTTAACATACTCCGGCACTTTGTAATCACTTGGTTTCGCGCCTGTGGATAAGAACAGAAGTAAATATATTGGCTCTAATTTTTGTAAGCTATGAAAATAATGCTGAAGAAACATACCTTGGATAAACTGAAATGCTGCTTTGGAAACCAAAACTGCAACCCTCAGCTTCTCCTGCAGTAAGGAGAGAACAAGTCTTTTGAGAAATAAAACATGAAGATGTCATATTCTATGTATTGGAGAGAAAACCGAGAAATGAGTGTTTATAGTACTTAATAAATATTCCCAAATCCTTTATTTAGAAAAACAGTTTTCATACGGTAAATAAGCACATAAGTGTGAGTGAATCAGATTCATAAGCGGGTGTACAAAACGAAAGCAAGATCAAAATGTTAGTCTTTTTCTTAAACCAGTATCAAACTATGAAGGCATGTAATCAAAATGTTGGTCAGCTAGCTTATGATGTTTCCATAATTATTTTGAAAATTTTCCATTTTATAACTTGCATGCTAGTAAAATGCATTTAATGTTTGAATTACAATCCATACCCCATCAACAATACCAAACTCAAAACTCTAGATTATCTAATTTATGCATTTATGTTTGTCATTTATGGAATGTAGCAACATTTAAATTGCCAAATAATCTACTAGATATGCTCTAGATCTGGAATATACAAATTCTTAAGTTTAAGGGTAAGTTCGTGTTTTTATTCAGAAATTGGTAAGAATAAGATATAAGCAACAGTCTTGAACTTAACAACCGTGAAATCAAATGAAGAGTGTGATCGGGGTAATGTCAAAGCGGAGAGCATGTCTTAATGGTATCTTTGGCTAAAATTTGAATTTTTAATTAGAAGTCACAAACATTAGTCATCGCCTAGTACACGGTTGACCGGAACTTAAAAAAAATCACCCGAAACTCTAACTATGATCGACAACAAAGCACTTCTCAGAAGTAGAAGTTCATTCTCCTCCATGTTTCTACAATTGAGAATAAGATCTAATCCGCGTGAGTTTCAAGAAAAAACTAAATAGTTTTCCCTATTGTTTTTTCAAACCAACACGGATTAAG